GAGCGTTGGCCTGCGGTCCGGAGAGACCCGGGTTCGGTTCCCGCTAAGGGCGCGTACCTTGGTTGCAGTTTGTCCCCGGCCCTGGTTGGTCGTGCGGGTGGCAGCCACTCCATGTGTCCCTTTCACGTCGATGTTTCTCTCTCTCTCTCCCTTTCTCTCCCTCCCACTCTATCTGAACAAAAAATGGAAAAATGTCCTCGGGTAAGGATTAAAAAAAAAAAGTTAAACAGAAGAAAGAAAGAAGAAAATCGGTTTGGATTCTTTTCTTTAAAGAATCTATTTTTCCCTCAAGGAACACATTCAAATGGTGGCCTCTTTGCAAGCCTAGACTCTTCCTTAGGGATTTCAGTAAAGATGCCGATCTTTTGCAATCATACTGATACTTGTTTATAAGATCCTCATTCCCTAGCCATGCAATGCAGGTTGTGCTTCTTGCCCACCAACCCTTCCTGTCAGTTTCATTGCCAATATCCAGTGTACACGTGCATTGTGCCACATCTGAACCTCCAAGGCTCATCCCCACACCTGGCCAGAGCAGGAGCTCGGGGTAGGAGTTTGTGAAATTGAAAGACTGAAATATCAAGGGAATAGCAAGAACTGGGATTGAGAGGGAATGTGGAGGAACCCCACGAGGCTCTGGTGGGGCAGGGACCCTCATGCATGCCTGGACCCTGGACAAACAACTTTGCACACAGTGGTGCCTGGAAGCCTCCACCTTGTGTCTTGCCGATGAAGCGATTTGTCTAGGAATGGGCAGTCAGGAGAGAGATCAGGGAAAATCCCCCTCTGCAGGGGCAACCCAGGACTAATCCCATCAGTGTGGTTAGGGGTGAACAGCATGACAGCTTTGCTAAGCTGCACTTCAGGGTTCATTGGAAGTTTACCAGCTCCCTCCACTTGGTTCAACTCACTCACAAATGCAGTGAGGTCTCTGGGCTATCCCTCTGATCTTGATCTGATCTTGTGAATCCGGGCACAGGGTTTTTGGTTTGATTTCCCAAGCTGCCTCGAATTCTCACATCTCGGTTCTTAAAGGTCCTCAGGCCGATGGGGTTTGAGCTTGGGATATTTGGAAGTGAGCGGCCAGGGATGAGGCTGGGGGCGTGAGTGGAGGCCTTGAATGTCAACCCTGGGAGCGTGGTTTGATCCTCAGAGCAATGGAAGAAGCTACGGGACAGTGATAGGTAAAGGAGTGAAATGGTCAGATTTTCATTTTCAAATTCCCTCCAGCAGCTGAAGTTGAGGATCAGAGGGTAGAAAGCAGAAAGATCAATGTGGAGGCTGTCACAGAAATCCAGGCAAAAATCAGAGTGAGAGTGTGATTTAGACCTTGCATTAGAACAGAAATGGTGAGATTTAGCATCCATTCCACCACGCAAGCATCTCATTCTTGTGGCAGACGTTGCTAATTGCTCAGTGTCCTCCGTGAACCGGGTGGGCAGCTCCCAATGACAGCCACTACCAATCAATCTTAACAGGCACACTGGATGAAAGAAATTTGCCCTCCCTGCTCTCTGTTATAGAAGGCAAGGAAGTCATCAGTTTTAAGGATGTGCTTGGGTTTGCTGACAGTTCACTTTGGGTCTGCCCCAATGTGAGGCCCTGGGAATCGGAATGAGGGTGATACCCTACACTGGTCTTTGAGGTCTCTTACGGTCATTGTGCCTGGCCCTGCTTATGCCCTCCACGTTCCCACTTAAAGCTTTTGCACATCCATTATCTCATTTCAACCTTACAGCATTTCTGGAAGGTCAAGGTTGTCACCCCATTTTATAGATGAGGAAACTGAGATCAGAGACTGCAAGTAGAGTGCCCAAATTCCACAGGTGTCAGGTGGCAGAACCAGGACGCAAACTGAGGGTCTGTCTGGCTCCAAAGCCCTGGCTCCTTGCGTGAGAGGTGGCCTGCTGCCCCAGCTGTTTGCACTTGTCAGGGCCCCGTGCAGAAAAGCCAGAACAGGTTGGGCTGACATCTTGGCAACAATGACTTTCCCTGTCAATAAGAATCCCTGGCTTAAAAAGACCCGAGAAACTTGACTTTTGAATCACCCTTATCTAATCCGCTCCGTGCTGAGCCATGGAAAAGGGAGGCTCTGGCCCCCGGGTGGGGATGGGGATGGGGGGTTCGCTGAGGGGGTGCTGCACAGATGGTGAGGGGCGGAGGTCTCTTGCTGTGGAAGAGAATACAGTTTCTGTCCTTGCACAGTTGGAATGAGGGCCCTGGAGCCAAGCAGCCTGGGCCAGGGCGGGGCCAGCCAACTTCTGGCACGTGAAATGCCACCCCCTGCTCATGGCAGATAATTCTCAGTAATAATTCATCCCACAGCAGGCATGCATCCTGAAAGCCCTGTCTGTTCTTGCCTCATGGGATCCCTGCTGGAATGTGGGGGGTCAAGGTGCTGGCCCCAGATGTGGGCAGAGTTCAGACTGAGCTGGGTGAGCGGGCAGCATCTGGGCACTGCCTGGGGCAGAGGGAGCCTTTGTGCTCTGGGTTCTAGGAACTCCACCCCCACCCACAGTTGCTCCATTGGGGAGAAATAGCTGATACATGCTCTTGCTCTCTCTGCTCCCTCGTCTGGGACAGCTGGGGTGGAGGGTGCTTTTCTGGGTGCAGTCTGGCATCTGACAAATCTACCCCACCCCATCATGCCTGGGGTGCTCCTTCGAGCGGCAAAAGGGTGAGGGGCAGGAAATCTCAACCTTGAATGCATGGCAAAATTCCGGGAGCTTTAAAAACATACCAACTCTGCCTTGGCCAGTTTGCTTCAGTGGTTAGAGCGTCGACCTGTGGACCAATGAGTCTTGGGTTCGACTGCAGTCAAGGGCATATACCTCGGTTGTGGTTTGTCTCCGGCCCTGGTCGGGGTTGTGTGGGAGGCAACCAGTCAATGTGGCTCTAACACATTGATGTTTCTTTCTCTCTCTTTCTCCCTCCCTCCCACTCTATCTGATAATAAGTAGAAAAATATCCTTGGGTGAGGAACACACACACACACACACACACACACACACACAAATAAATAAATAAATAAGAAATACCAACTCTCACTCCTCCTCCCAGAATCTATGGTATATTGGTCTGTGGCAGTACCTGGGCATTGGCACCTTTTAAAACAATCCCAGTGATTCTGACGGGAGCCAGGGTTGAGAACCATTGGTATGATGTTTTGAGAGAATAGAGCTGCGGCTCAGTCACCCCCCAGGCATGTGACCCTGAACATATGATGTAACAGTTGGTGCCTCAGTTTCCCATTTGTGAGATATGGACAGCAACAGTACCTATGTCATGGGATTGCTTGGAGGATTCGATGAGATAATGCCTTAAGTACCTGGCACCGCGGCTGGCACAGAGCACACAGATGTTGTAGCTCCACTGGATGGTTATTACTATTTCTTCCTGTCTCATTTCAGCCAAGGGGAGATTTTAGGGCTTGATGTCCCACGCAGAAAGTCAAAAGTGCAGAGAGATGTCCCCTTTGAGGACCATAGCATTGGAGGTGACCAGAAGAGGCTCTGCTCTGACATGGAGGCAGGTTGGAAGGTGTTGGTCCCTCCGCGGCTCCAAGAGACTCCCACACTCCTTAGAAAGGCTCTTGGAGCACCAAGGACACCATGTGGAGGTGGTGGCGCCTGCTTGCTCCCGTCCCAGCAAGCTTTCAAGGGGAGGGACGAGATCTGCTCAGCTCAGTGTCCCTGTGGCCGGCGCACGGGCGAGTCATGTTGGATAGTCCACAGTGCATGACGTGGGCCTGCCAGGAGAGCTGGCAGATTCTCTGAGCAGGGCATTAACTGGTCACAATGGCAACAGTAACTACCACTTCCTGAATGCCCACGGCGTGCAGGCCATCTCGCTCAGAGTTCACAAAATCGCACAAATATTGCCATGGCTCTTTCTGGCAGGTGATGCCCTCAGCCAGGTTGGTCAAGGTGAGGGATAACTCTGTCCGATCTCCAAACCCAGTGAAACCACAGCCTCTGGCCTCCGACAGCCACTGAGCTGCCTGGAGCCCTGCAGCGGGGTACAGAGCTGCGAGCCGTCAGCCCAGGGCTGTGAGCGTGTTGTTGCCACGGACACCAGAAAGGCCGCAGCTTTCTCTGCTGAGCAAGGCCCTGGGTGCAGGTCAGGGGGCAATGTTTAGGCCGCTCTTTTCCCCTGAAGACAGGTTTTCTCGTTTTCATAGAACTGCAGGGTGGAGAAAGTCACTGGAAATATCCCGTCTGCTCCCAACCTTAATATCCGAGATAGCATTCTCGAGTTTTCCATGTGGAACCCAACTTACGGTGACCTCAACAAACATGCTGCACAAAAGAATGATCACAAAGGACGTCTGTAAGTGAATGACTGGAGTTTTGGGATGAATTGAGGCTCTCCTAGGCCATGGGGCTCTTTTTCCCAGGGAAGCATTTCTTTCTGTTCTTACCTGTCCCTCAGGGAGTGAGTGTAAATCCCACTTCTCTCTGCAGCCCACAGAAGGCGGGGCGGGTTTGGGAATGGCTCCTTCTCTGCATTGGGAAGGGTCGGGTTTTCAGCCCGACTTAGATTCTTCTGCCCTAGTTCATTATTAAAGATCAGTTTCCAAGGATAGTAGAGTGACAAGCCCAAGTCTTACAACAAACTAAATATTTTTAAAAGTTATTAAATGTCTGGCCCTGGCTGGGTTTGCTCAGCGGTTAGAGCGTCAGCCCGTGGTCCAGAGAGACCCGGTTTCGGTTCCCACTAGGGGTGCGTACCTCGGTTGCGGTTTGTCCCCAGCCCTGGTGGGTCGTGCGGGTGGCAACCACTCGATGTGTCCCTTTCACGTCGATGTTTCTCTCTCTCTCTCTCCCTCCCTCCCACTCTATCTGAACAAAAAATGGAAAAAATGTCCTTGGGTAAGGATAAAAAAAAAGTTATTAAATGTCTGTATTATGTTAAGGATGTAAACCATAGCATTTAGTCAAGACTTTCAAATCAAGCTTTTGATCCTATATTTATTTAGGTATATGCCACCTTGTTGCAAAAAAAAGGTATTGTGGCAACTTACAAAAATAGATAAAATACAATAGAATAAACATAAAGAGGTTAGGGTAAAGGTAAAAGCAGGAAGCTAAAATAAAGCCAGAGTCCAGTGGGAGACAGTACAATTGTCTTCTTTGTTTTTTGTTTTTAAATTTGAAGTATTTTCACATTAGAATTTTAATAGGGAAAATCAGGAGTATATAAACGTTGACAGTACACTTGTTAAAAAATAATTGCAAATTTGACTTTGAGCTTCCCATTGGCCAAAGTAAAACAGAAAACATAACTGTTTACAAGATTCCTAACAACAGTTAATTTTGGGCTTTGGTATAAATCCAGAATTTTCTTTTCTCTGTTAATTTATACTTGACTTTGTTCCAAATGTAATTGGAGGCAGTCACTCCTTGGCTTGTTATTCAAGGCTCTTTACAAGCTGACCCCGACCTTCCTCTTGGGTCTCGTATGTGGATCTAGTGTGGCCTGGCCACACTGAATAAAAGCAATGGCCACCATTTTTGGAGCTGCCACTAGAGTGGCACACAGTTGCAAAGAAAATAGATTGACCAGCCCTGAAACCCTGACTCTGCCACAGGCTAAGCTGCTCTGTGACCTTGGGTAAGTTCCTTCACCTCAGTTTCCTCATCTGTAAAATGGACACATTCAGAGTTTATGCCTTCTATTGTGAAGATGCAAGAATATGCACATGGCATGTTTAGAATACTGTTGATGCTCAGTCAATAAAGGTGGTTATATCACCTGATTTTGAAACCTGGCCCTCCACTTAATTGCCCACAGGACAAGTGACTTAACTTCTCTCGGCTGCATTTTGACTATCTGTAAAATGAGGAATATAACTACTCCTACCGCATAACCCACATACACGGGCCTGAAAACAGAAGGGGCTTAGTGAGTGTTTGGAGGCCACAGCCAGAATCATCTCCCCAGACAACGATTTTGCCTGTCCTTTCTTTTTCAAAATCAGTCCATTCTCACTTGCCCTTTTCTCAGATTAATGGAGAAAGAGGAGCCTGAACCCTTCTCACATGGTTGGGCTGTGATATCATAAAAGACGCAGTCTTGTAAAACCCACACCCAGGGTCAAGGGAAACGCAGCCCCCTGAAGAGCCTGTGAGTGGAGCTGGGATGGCTGGGTGGGGGAGGCTGGATGTGTCCACCACTATGAGTCAGCCCTTACTCGGCTGGGCGTCATCATTCCCCTTTATTTCAGGGGTAAGTTACAGCTTAAGCAAAACAACATCACCTGACAATACAAAGAAATGTATTCTGCACAAAATGCATTTCCCTACACTCTTAGGTATGCAGCTACATTTTCTAACATGACAACTAGGTGTTCAAATATACAGATATCCAGGAGCTGGCATGGGCCAGAGTGAGGGGAGCAGGGTCTGGGGGTGTATTGGGATCAGCAGTAAATACCCTTCAGAGGTGTTGGGATGACTTGCGTGTTGGGTAGTCTGTCTCCTTCCTGGGCAGAGCTGCCTCTAAGCCAGGAGACTAAAGGATGTAGACAAAGACCTGATGGAAGGAAACTGGCTGTATCCTGTTCCCAGTGTGGCTCTGAGCCACTCTCTAACCCTTTCTGGGCCTATTTCTCCTTTGGTGAAACAGGGAGTTGGACCGGAGAACTTCTTCCCAGCTCTAAAAAGATTGCCCAAAGCAGGTGAGGGCAGGTTGAAGGTCTTGTTGCCTGGATGTGAGGCTCAGGGAACTCTCAGCAGTACCAGGTGGGCTGACCCCCCAGTGCTGCCTCAGCCCCAGGTCCTGGGCTTGGGGAAGCCCTGGCACCAACATCTCTGAAGCCAGGAAAAGGGCCCTGGCTGTTCCTTGTAGCCAGAAAATCTGATGCCTCCCATCTGCTCTGATCTCAGCCTTCCCCAGTCCCCCAGGCTGCTGGGCCAACCCAGCAAACGACCAGGTCAGGACTGACAAAGAGGGAACCGGTTTCATCCTGGTCCCACCCCGACCTCAGGCGTAGGGTCTTGCTCATGGCAGACCTGGAAGTATCCCTGAGTGCACATAGGTTGTGGCTTGAAAGGCCCAGAGAAAAAGGACAAGGTAGACCCCCAGACCCAAAGGCTCTGGGAGGGACTGGGGAGCAGTCCCATGGCCTGGGTTTGTGGCCAAAGACAGCACTTGTGGTTGGAGAGGGAGCCTCGGGCCTGGCCCAGCTCCCCACCCTGGTAGAGTAGCTGCTGGCAGGCGGCTGCCTGCAGCCTTGTCAGCTGTTGCTGCAGAAACAAATGACAGCGCTGGTGAAGAAGAGAAAATAAAATTGAGTACAGAGGGAGGGGGAACTTGGAACGGGGGGCTGGTATTTTTTCTCGGGGTGTGGTTTCTGCTCAGTGGCTGGGTGACCATGGAGGTTTGGAATGTGGTTGGACAGCGGGTGGGGTAGGGTGGGAGGGCTGGCCAAAGCCAAGGAGCAGGGACCTTAGCCAGGGACCCAAAGCCCAGGGCCACCAACAGCTCAGCCAGAATGGGGGCCTATGGTGGCACACAGAGCCTGGCCTCCACCCAACATTAGTGTGCGGTTTCCAAAGGCCTCTGGTTTTCAGAAGCCGTGGGAAGGGAGACAGAGTTTTGAAAACAAGAGAAATTAGGAGACAGGGGACAGGGCTGGACACAGGGGCAGCATGGTCAAGGCTGTCATGACAGCATGGCCTGCCTGATCCAAACTGAGGCTACTGAGGCAGGGCATGCTGTCTCTCTGAGCCTCAGTGTCTTCACCTGTTAAATGGGCTTCACTCTTTCCACCGCCAAGGGTGCTGCTGGGAGGATGAAGTGGGGTAGTGCACCTGACGCTCTTGGCACAGTGCTCTGCAAGTGGAAGCTACAATTATTCCACTAGGTGCTAAGGAAGCTTTGTGCTGGCTACGCCCTATGTCTCGCACCTAGACCCGGGCCTGGTCCCCAATAAATATTTGCTGATGGAGTTCCTTGCAGGTGTCGCTGTGGAGAGCCCCGTGCCCACTGCTACTCCTCCCCTGTGAGTGCAGGCGCCCACTCAGACCACGAAGTGGAGGGTGTAGGTGAGCTGGTGGCCGTTGTCCCAGGCGTACAGCACCCGTTCCTTGGGGTTGTAGTCGACCTGGGTGGTGTAGGCGTGCTCATTGAGGAAGGGCAACTGCGGGCGGGCGTCGGTGCCCGTGTGCGTGTCGAAGGCGTAGGCCACCTGGCCGTCCCGCTGGTTGTACGTGTCCACGGCGTACAGGATGCCGCACACCAGGAAGCAGTTCCCGTACGAGTTCCGCCGCAGCCGCGTCTTCCACGTGGTCTCGCGGTGCACCGAGAGGTCCCCGGGGTCCAGGCGGCTCAGCACGATCACCTCGGGCTGGGCCCCGTCGCTGTCATCCACCGCAGGGTAGATGACCCACAGTCCGCTCTCGTCCACGGCGAAGTCGATGTCGGAGTGGCCTCGCCACTTCCAGGGTGTGGTGTCCTCGTACACGGCGTCGGGCAGCAGCGCCCAGGAGGCCACGAAGCGCTGGCGCAGGTCGTACTTGATGATGTTCTTGGTGAAGGCGCGGTTGTAGTAGAAGGCGCCCTGGTACACCACGTGGCCCGTGCCGATCCAGTTGTAGGGCAGCTTGTACATGTTACTCCAGCGGCCTGTGTGTGGGGGGCAGCTGGTCACACCAGGGCCTCTGGTGCAACCCTCCGCCCATGAGGCCACCCAGGGCTCTGGGGTGGCTCAGCAAGCCACAGGTACTGAGTGTGCTATGGGCCTGGAGCTGGGCCAGTCATTTCATCCCAGCAGTCCCATGAAGGAAGGACTTCTAGTATCCCGTTTGCTGAGGAGGAAACAGCCTCAGAGCGTTCAGGGTCACCCAGTTATGAAAAGGCACAGCCAGGAATTGGGAACAGGCTGATGCTTTGTCTCATGCTGTTTCTTTTATCTAGACTGCTAGTCCCCATCTTATCTGCCTGGGGAATGCCTCCTTATCTTTCAGAGCCCTGGGCCAATGTTACCTCCTCCATGAAGCCTTCTCTGATCTCCCCAGCTTGAGAGAGGGACTCTCCTTGGCCTCCCATAACCCTTTGCCTTGGCAATTTCCACTGGCTTTCTCTGCGACAGCCCATGTGCCCCACGAGGCAGGGACCAGGTCAGTTTGGTCGGCAGAGGAAGGACTTTAGTTGTTCCAGGCCATACCTGTGACACCACAGCTCTCAGGGTAAGTCCAAACTCTTTCATGTGGCCCACAAGGCCCGACTCAGCCACTCTCTCATTATGCTTCCTCCACCTCCCTTCTATGCCACCATGCTTCCTCTTATTGCCAAGCCCGTACATACTGGCCTCCTGCCTGGAATGCCTTTCCCTCTCTGTTCTTCCTCCAGGGCTCAGCTCAGCATCACCTCCTCTGGGAAGTCTTCCTTGATCTCCAGGCAGGGTTCCCATGGCCCCCTGAGCTTCCCTCTGACAGTATACTCAAATTGTTTCTTTAAGTCTCTGCTTCCCATCTAAGACTGTGCATTTCTGGAACATGGGTCATGTCTAAATGACCCCTTTGCCCCACCGTGTCCCAGATCTGATAACCAAAATTCTGTCCTTCCCTGCCCAGACCTGCAGTTCCTCTAAGGCCTGGGGTCCTACTCACCCGCAAGGCATGGTGATCACCCCCACCTCCTGGGGTTAGAAAGATAACAGGAGCTGACTCACACAGGGTGATTAGCACACAATAAGCCTAGTAGAAATTCTAGCATTGTTTCTCCTGACAGTGAGCTACAATCATGAGGGCAGGGCCATGTCCATCTTGTTTGCTAGCTCCTGGTATGGTGCCAGGACATAGGGGGTGCACGCAGAATCCCCTACTTGGGGTGGCTGACCATTTGGATCTAGGCCAAGCTGGGGAAGTCTGGACCACAGGATACCACAAGGCAAGGAGGGCTAGTCTCCAGGGGGGGACTCTCCCCAGACCACCTACACCCTGCCCCGACCTTGCTTGAAGTTTTCCAGGTTGCGGAACTCCACCAGGCTGTTTCCGTAGTAGTAGTTGGTGACGTAGATCCTGTCATCCTGCGAGGTGGGGTCCTTCATCCAGGCTCCCTCATGGCGCCCGTAGCTGTGGTGCCTCACAGGGGGGTCCACGGTCCGGAGGGTGCCCTCACAGCTGGCTTCTCTGCCTGTGGGGAGCGAGGGGTGCAGCATTTGGTACTCAGACCCACGGCCCGAGTCAGAGCAACAGTCCTGGAAATACGATCTGGTCTAACGTAAATCCCCCTGATGTTTGTTTGCAGCCTTTTGTTTTTCTTCCCTCAAGATCAAAGCAATGTCTGATCATTGTAAAAACAAAAAAACACCCCATGCAACATTCAGAAAAGGAGAGAATAAAAATCATTCAACATTCCATCAGCCAAAGAAATTTTCTAACATGTTGCATTTCCTTCCTTTTCTTTACATGCATGTCATACAGTTGTACCTTTAAAACTGTGGTTCTTCTGAATACAGGTTTATGTACCCTGTTTTTTCCCATCACTGAGCAATTTCTCATTATTATATGGCCTTTTAATGATGTGATTTCAAGGTTCTACCAGGCCACCAGACAGCTGTGCCCTCGAATTTATTAAACCAGACCCCTCGGCATTAGAGCTTTAGATTATGTCGTTTTCTGACATTAAAAATATGCTGCGAAGAAACCGGTTAAGCTGCAGCTGTTGTCCAAATTGCTGATGGATCCTTGGGAAAGATTCTAAGAATGGAGAGTGCTCAGACCGAGGATGGCTTGCTAGCGTGGCTAGTCAAGATGCCTTTCAGAAGGATGGGCTCGATGATTTGATGAGGAGGATTTCTACCAAAAGGCACATGCCCCAAACCACAAATGTAAACCTAAAAATAGAGACAAATACTGGACAGAGGAAAGAAGTGAAAATAGCTGTTGGATTTGATGATGGAATTCTGGGTGACTTTTGAGGAAGACTTTGCTGTAAATACTACCTGTTTACTGTAAATGTTATCAAGGATCAGAGAGTAAATATTTTAGACCTTCCAGACCACATACTTTTGCCCTATCTTCTTTTTTTACAACCCTTTAAAACATGTAAAAACAGCTTGAGAACTGTATAGAAACAGGCCGCAGGCTGGATTTGGCTCATGGGAATCGTTTGCTGACCCGTGAGACTCACTCACCTTGCCTGGGGACTTCTGGGTGTGAAGGTGACTCAGTGGGCAGAGGGCTGGTGGTGGGAGTCAGGGTACGAGCGGTGGCTGGGTTTGAGGAGGGGGTGCCAGGGGCCAAGTCTGCTCCCTTGGAGGCCCCAGGCCCAGCCTCCTCATGTTCAGCAGAGTTGGGCTCGGGTGGCCTGCCCTCCTCCCTGGGCGACAGCTGTTCCAGCCAGGAAGTGCCTCTGAGGGCGTTGTCTGTGGAGAGAAGACCCTGAGCTCACATCCTAGCAGCACTTGCTGCTCCCCAGGGTCCTCCCTAGTGGGCTCCCAGCTCAGGGGCCACGGGGAGTGGACAGGGGAGGCCCTGGGGAGTGAAAAGCCTCGACAAGTGGGCTTTGTGGTCAGCCTGTTTCCTTCCGAGAAGGGAGTCACGAGGCCCACCGTGTTAGGCTGTTGTGCTGATTAGAGGACAATATATACATTTGCACAGATTCTGCCAAATATGAGGCCTCTTTCCCTCCCGAGTGTCAGACACATTGCACCAGTTATTTCATTTCCTAGATTCAATTCCAGGAGGCAGAAAGCCATCTCCAGACTTTCTCCCAGCCCTGTCCCCTGGAACTCACCCTCCAGTTTCTCTTACCTAGTGTACGACACTTCCAGCACGGAAGGGAGGTGCAGCCAGCTTCCCGTCACCTTCTGGACCCCAGGGTCTGTCCTTCTCTGTCCCCTCACTCAGTTCCTATCTCCCATTTCCTAGCCTTCTTGGCATCTACCCCCACCTCCTTCTCCCCCTCTGCGGGCATGGGCTTTGCTCACAGGAGGACTTTTTCAGCATCCATGGGACCTGGTATTGAGCCATCTGGGTCATCCCTGACTCACACACTTCTCTGGGCTGGGATGGATGAGTCTGGGAAGGGAAAGAAGTAAGACTCAATGCCACACAGAAAGAGACGTAGACTCCTCAGTTCTGGGGACAGAGCTATGAAGGGGTCTAAGGCAGGTTCTGCAGCCTGCGACCTGGACCAGTCCCAACAACTCACTGTGAGACCTGGAGCCAGTCACCTTCATCTCCTGAGCTTGGTTCCTCACCTGGGTCAAGGGTGACACCTGGTGAAAGTACTCAGAAAACTGTGATGCCAGGGACGAAGGAATGGTGCTGTTGTTGCTGTGATGGAGTGGCCCCCAGGGGGTGCACTGAGGCCCCTTGACTCCAGGACAGTGACCTGATATCTTCCTGTCCTCTCCCAGCTGGGCTTCTTTGCACAAAGGTTTAGCCAGTTCCCACTGTGGGGCCGCCCCTGGAGTCTCGGGGGAATGGGGTACACCCTCTGATCGGGGCCCCCGAGGGCTGGCTTCAGCAGCTTGCCAGGGCAGGGGCTTGTTCCCACAGGCCTCGCTGGCAGTCAGATGCCTGCAGCTGTTCCTGGGCAGTGTCCCAGCCAGGGGTCAGAGGCTCTGAGCTGTGGCCAGGCTGAGCTGGCAGGACTCGGGCCAGCAGCTGGCACTAAGGGCTGGTGGGGGAAGGGAGGCAGGCCCCTGAGCCTGAAAGACCAAGAATTGAGGGGGCTCTTGAAGGAGACAGGTTCCTTACAGTTCCACCTCCCAGCCCCTCGGACATGGGCTGGGCAGAGGGTCTTACTGGAGGAGGTGGTGAGAGGACCTAGGAAAGGGGAGCAGGCTTGGACATTTCTCAGGGACATCAGAGGAGAGCAGGCATCTGCGGAGGGTCTCAGAGAAAGAATAAGGAGCACACTAGTGGGGATGGTCCAGAAATTTGGGTACTTTTGGAAGTTTTATCTGTTGTTTCTCAGTTAATTACTTTGTTGTCCCTCACTGGGATCCAGCAAGGGGCTGCGGGAAAACTACAGGTATCTGTGGGCTCTTTGGGGAGAGAGTGGGAGGTGCTGGAGAGGCTATCCATTCCAAGGCCAGCCTGGAAACGGGAGGTGCCCCGAGAGGCCCATGTCACTTGTCGGAACCCTGGCCTGGCTGCGGCCCTGTGTTCTCTCTCCCACCTGTGGCAGCTGCTTGCATGGGTATGGGTTTTCCCACTAGGCTGTGAGCTCCATATTAGGCCATCTCTGGGCGATACGGCAAGTACACAGTGGACCTTCAGCAGATCTTTGAGTGAAGGAGGAAAAGTCCAGTGAGGCCGGAGATAGATGGCTGTGAATACTGGAAGGGAACCGAGTGGCCCATTGTGTTGATTATATCGTTTCATCTCCAACCCCATGAGGAGGCATTGTCCCACGGTGTGCACAGGCAGAGGGCACCAGCAGGAAGCTGGTGGATTTGAAATCTGGACTGCAGAGAAGGTCCCTGTGGGAGATCTGTGGGCCGCGCCAGCCATCAGCCAGCCCCGCTCCCCAAGGTTCCAATCCCCTCCAACTCACCAGCCTCGGCCACTTCCCTGCTGCCTGCCTTGTAGTAGGTGATGCCTCGGATCACTGCCTGCTGCTGGGCCAGGGCCCGGGGCTTGGCTGTGGGCTGGGGGAATCGGCCCTGGCCACCATCCTTCCTCGGCTTCTCCACCTTCAGCAGCTTCTCCTTGGGAGGTTTGGGGAGGGCCCTGTCTACAAAGCTCTTCTGCACGCTGCCATATTTGTTGCTGTCTTTGCCTTTCCCTCCAGCTGTGTCCTGGGAGAGAAGGGAAATCTCACACTTGGGGGCTGGTAGAAGGGATGTTGCGGGGGGTGTCATGGAGGCTCAGCATGTGGGGGCTGAAAGTGGTCATGTTGCTCTAGGCCATACATCCCAGGAGTCATAAAGGCACAGCTTTCCTCCCAGAGTGGCTACATCCACGACTGGGGTGTGCCTCAGTTCCCCCATCAGCTCTCTAGCTCCCCTGCAGGCGTGAAGGCCAGTTAGATTCCTGTCCTAACTCCCAAAGGGGTTGATTATAATGGTCAACTCCCTGGGGAGGTAGTGGACCACCAGGTCAGCTTCTTATCTCTGTCTCTCTCACATTCTTTGTTTATGGGCAGAGGAGGGGCTCTCAGGCCCCTAGGCAGAGTGACCAACTCATCCCAGTGTGCCTGGAACTTCCCCAGTTTAAGCACTGAAAGTTCTGCATCTTGGGAAACCCTTCAGTCCTGGGCCGACGGACAACTGGGACGGCTGGTCACTGGGGCATTGGCCTTAGGGCAGGCAGTTTCTAACATTTTGTGAATTTTGTTATTTTCACTTCCTTTTAAATGCCTTGCTGCTGGCTTGGCACAAGAACACAGGGCCTGTGGCGTCAACCATTGTTAGGCAGAGTCTCCAGGAGATACAGCAAGTACAGTATCGAGACCTCTCTCTGCATGATTCATTTGTGCCTGTGGAACTGGCAGGAGAATGAGCAGGAAGCCAGCTCTGGGCCAAGGCTCTAGGCTTCCTCCACACACTACCGCGTCTAGTCGGTCCCAGTTTCCCACGCAAACGACCCGTCGTCACAGTGTCAGCACAGGAGGCCGAGGAGTGGCGATGAAGAGCATGGGCTCAGCAGGCACACACAGCCCGTCTGGTCCCAGTGCAGACACCCCTCCCCGAGCTCCACTTTCCTCATCTGCCAAACAGGCGATGATCAGCCCTCCTCGCAGGTAGTTATGGGACAAACTGAGAAAACGTCTGTGAGGAAGTTAGGTTCAAAGCAGGATCTACAACATCAGCTCCCTTCCTCCCCCACTCACCAACAACAAGGCTGCTGTGGGTGGTGAGGGCTGTGCCCTGCATGGAGGAGACTGGCCGAAGGGGCACGAATGGGGCTGAAATTTGCCAAGCCACACACCCTGGTGTGTGCTGATCAAGGGAGGGCCTTTGTATAATCTGTCCACTCACAGCGAGCTACTCTTTCTAATTCATCTGCCCAGAGGGACAGCCTTTTCTGCAGTTTGTCTGCCCAGAGGAGGGCCTTTGTCAAATTTGCCAAAGGTGTGTTATATGTCAAGAGTGGCTATTCCTGGTGACAAAACCTCTGCTCACTTTGTGCTCTGAGCTCGAACATGGACTGTCTGGGGTTTGCTGCAGGGGTCCTTCACCCCAGCTTGGGCTGCATGATGTGGTATTAGTGTGCAGGGGTCCCCGAGGTGTCGCCTACCTACCCCTGCACAGGCTTGACCCCATCAGGGCCCAGCCACAGCAGGGAGGCTAGAAGTGCTTTGCTGCAGCAGACCTGGTCGCCCAGGGCCAGGCAGGGAGAGTCACCTCTATGACCTTATCCCCACTAGTTTGGAAAGGGGAATGGGAATTCTGCCAAATGCCCGGCTCAGGGAACAGACCCCTCGGCTGGATCCCCGTGTCTGCTCCCAGCTCACTGAACAGCACGCACCCTCTGCGCCCTGTCCTGCCATGACTCTCCAGCTGTGCCAGCCCTCAGCCCTGTCCTGCAGCCCCAAACCCCACCCAGCTGGCCCTCAGGGCTGAGGTCCTGGCACACTGTGCTCCCAAGCCCACCCATAATCAGAGCCATGGTGTCACCTGTGCCTTGCTACCAGGGCCGGTGGCTGGGGCTGCGGCAGGGGCTGTGGCCGAGTCCTTCTGCAGCAGCTGGAGGCCCAGGCTGGAGAGCTCCTTCTTGATGCTCATCATGACGGCCGACTGGTTCTCGTAGTTTCTCAGCTGCTCTCTGAGGTGGCGCATGCTCTCCCTCACCACCTCATTCTCCCGGCTCAGGTTGGCCTTGATGCTCTGTGAGGGCGGACCCGAGGTCTTTCCAGCCTCCTCCGACAGCCTCCCCACCCCTCGACCTGGGGGGACACCCCAGCTTCTGCCCTTGGGCTTTGCTCCCCATTCTTGTGGGCAGGGCAGCACCAGCGAGCATGGCTGGAATAAAGCATGCTCGAAAAGACCCTGTAGTTATTTTTTATTTAAAGAGTGAATGAAGGGACATCATAGATAAAATATGTTCACAGTACTAAATTAAAAAGGTACAAATGGGTTTAAAAAAATGTCCTCCTCCCACTTTTGTTTCTCAGCCAATAGTTATGGATTTTTTCCTAACACTTTGCTCTCTCACTGGAGCTGATTTGGGAACTCTCTCATGTCTATGTACAGTTCGCCATGCCTTCACTGGCACAGTCTGCCACCGTATGGACCCGCCATCGTGTACTTAGCCAGTCCCTCTGAATTCGTCACTTAAGTTGCTACCAACTTTTTGCTACTTTAAAATTACCTTTTAATTTCACAAGTTATGCATAAATACCTTATTTTAATAAAATTGTCAAACAATAAAACTCTTTGGGGTTTTGTGATGGGTGAGACTCTGATCCCTCCTGGTCCCCAATCTCTGACTTCTCTCCAGGGTGGTGCTGGCTCCTCCCATACCACTGAGCCCAGCTTTTATTCCCAGGTTTCTGCTCCTACCCGCCTGTCTCCCCCTTGCTGGGGACCCTGCCTGGCTTTAGCAGCCCCCAGCCACCCCCTCATGGCCCTTGGTTCTGAATCCTGCTGGAAGTAGGATCACTCAGAATCACCATGTCCTCTCCATGGACCCCCCAATCCAGGCATCCCCCTCACTGGGCTGTTGCCCAGGCTGACCTTATCCACTGGGCAGGACTCAGGAGAGCTGGATGGCCTGGTATCAGCCCCAGGTCCCTAAAGCCCCAGCAGGTCTGGGGTATGTGTGGAATTCCTTTGTCTGAGTATACTTCTCAGCTGAAGCAGAAGAAACTAGTCAGCTGCAGGAAGTGCCTCTTTGCTGTGAAGCCCTGGAGCATCAGAATTAAAAGTTCAGCATCTCCCCCAGCCGGTGTGGCTCAGTGGTTGAGCATCAGTCCATGTACCAGGAGGTTGCTGGTTCGATTCCAGGTCAGGGCACATGCCCAGGTTGTGGGCCAAAGCCCCAGTGGGGGGGCCAATCTATGTTCTCTCTCATCGATGTTTCTCTCTCTCTCCCCCCCCACTCTCCCTCTCCCTTCCTCACTCTCTAAAAATAAATAGAGAAAAAATAAATAAAAGTTCAGCATCTCACTGATATAAATTTTTACAGAGGAGAAGATAACCTGTAAATGATTTGTCTAGTCAGCCCTGAGTATGAACAGATTCAGGGACCAAGAGGCAGCAGGCAAGAGTTGGACAGAGCTGGGTTCAAAGCCTTACTCTCCAATTCCTGGCTGAGTAGCCTTGAGCTAGTGACTTTACCTCTCAGCCTCAGTTTCCTTGCCTGTTAAATGAGGATTTTTCTCATAATAACAACTAAATATCAGGGTGACAATCAGAAATGCTAAGAACAAGAAAGTGAGTTCTAAACCAGATTAAAGGGGGGACAGAAGTCAAACTGTATAAGGCAAGTTTCTCAACCTCGGCACTGCTGACAACTGTGTTTTGTGGGGCACTGTCCTGTGCATCATAGATGTTTAGCAGCATCCCTGGCACCTACCCAACTAGAAGCTGACAGCATCCACCACCACCTCCCCAAACTTTGACAACCCAAAAATGTCTCCAGATATTGCCAGTTGTCCCCTGGGGAGCACAGTGGCCCCCCCGCTGAGAACCTCCGTTGTAAGGGAATAGAGCAAGGGGAGCCAGCTCCTCCCTAGTGAGGCTATTCTACCTCCTCCCAGCTTAGCAAAAAACTTAATTTTTCTTCATAGAATTATCACTTAGTGAACAGAAGCGAAGCACAGATAATGCAAAACAGAAGATAATTAAAAATCATTTCTTTGTGGCTGTGGAAATCATTTCTGATTTGTTCCAGGCCCAGCAGACATGCCCTCCAGATTGTCTGGCTCCTAGTTATGTGACGTGAGAGAGCATTTCCTTAGATTTCAAGAGGAAAGGTCAAAGGATAACTGCAGAGCTAGCAACAAGAGCGCCTGGCATGGACTAGGTGCACAGGAAACACTGGTGCACAGTAGAAACCTGATCGTCATTACTTTCTCCGGTGCTGGCCTCGGCCTGGCACATAGTAGATACTCACCAAATACTCCTTGAATAAATAAAGCCACTGTGACCCCAACCTTGGGGTTAGTAAGGGGTTAATCTCCCACCCTGGGGCACAGGATGCCCAGGTGCCCCCTCCTTTTAGAAAGGAAGCTGGGAAAGGAAGCCCCCACACCCAGCTCCTGGCAGCTGCATGTCCCCAGGCTCCCAGCAGAGGCGGATGCAGGAAACAGGCGGAGGCTGGGCTGTGCCAGCTGTGATGCAAATCTCGAACCCGCAGCCTGGAACCCCATGCTGGTCCAACTCTGTCCCTGTCCTCAGAGGGCAGTCCTAGATGCCTCTGGCTCAAGCCCTGCCCTTACCTCTTCCAGCGTGTCCATCTGGGAGGCCACCTTGTGGATGTAGGCGTGCACTCTCATCAGGTCCATGCTGTACAAGGCGCCCTCCAAGAGATCCACCATGGACTGCAGCTGCCCAGGAAAGGGTGAGGGTTAGGAAAGGGCAGAGCATCGGGCCCAGCATGAAGGGTGCAAAGGAGTCCCACCACAGTGCAAAACTCTGGAACCCCAGAGTCTCGGAATGGCCTGCTTGGGCCCTCAGCACCCACTAGACCTAGTCTGCTAATAATCACGAGAAAAGCAGCAGATCCATCTTCTGAGCACTTACCACGCAGCAGGCGCTGTGTTAGGGGCTTTAATGAGCCAGTTCACTTAATCCTCACAACACCCCACAAGGTATGTAGTGGCAGGCTCTAACCATACCTTCTGGGATCCCGCCTACCCTTTTTTGTGCCCATGCCTGGCTTCCCTGTGCCTCCCTGTACAGGCCTGCATCTGTGACTCTCTTCAAAGGACCACTTGGCCCCCAGAGTGTCTGGGAGCTTATGTCCTCCTAGGGCAGCCTATAGGCAGTGTCTGACTGGTGTGGGCATCTGAGAGCCAGCTCCCTAACCGCAGTGTGATAGCTGAACTGTCATTCATACTCCAGCATCCCCTGGGGCTGAGGGTGGCACTTGGCCTGAGACCACAGCCCTGCTGGGCTTCCTTCCCTTCCTGCCCCCATGTCTCCCACTTTGGTACCAGTTTCTCCTGGGAGCACTTCCATTATAAATCACCTGCACATGGACCACTCGCCTCCGGGTCTGCTTCTAGGGACCCAATGAAAGACAGGGTTTGGATAGCTTTTGTCTTCATCATATAGATTGGGAAGCTGCAGCTTAGAGAGGTGAAGTGACTGCCCAATGCCATCCAGGTGCTCAAGGTAGAGCCGGGGGCAGAACCCAGCTTGGAAAAATCCAAACCTCTTTTCTACCATACTTTACTGCTCCCGTCTTGTGTTTAGATGGGGAAACTGAGACTAAGAAATAAGGGGTACCCAACCAGTGTGGCTCAGTGGTTGAGTGTCGACCCATGCACCAAGAGGTCGCTGGTTCGATTCCCGGTCAGGGCACATGCCCAGGTTGTGGGCCTCATCCCCAGTGGCGGCATGCAGGGTGTAGCCAATCGATGTTCTCTCTCATTGATGTTTCTATCTCTCTCTCTCTCTCCCTTCCTCTCTCTCTCTCAAATCTATAAAAAATAATAATAAAAAAATTTTTTTAAAAGAAAGAAGGGGTAGGCGCTTGTACAACAGGTCAGTTGCAGATGCTGGGTTTCCCTTGCCCAGCCCAGGGCTCTTCTCTATAGCTGTTCCCCCCCTTACCCTCTGTCACACCTCATCAGGATATGACATTTCCTCCAGATGGCTAGGAAGCCAGCAAGACTGTCAGGGACACCTTGGCACAGTGGGCTGGCTGGGAAATCAGCTTCCCCTGGCTTCTCGCTGGGCCGCTCCTCCAGCCCGTCCTCTGCATGGCCCCACCCCCAGTCCTGCAGCCTTTCTCAGGGCCTGACCCGCCAGTGCTCTTACCTGGCCCTGGCCCGCTGCTTCCAAAACAGTTTTAGTCCCACTCTCCCAGGGGTACTCAAGCTGTTTTAAGCCAGAGAGCTTTTCTCTGAGTAGACTTGGATCTCTAAAACAGAAAAAGGGGGTGGGGACTCTGATGGGATCAGGGGGAGGGCTTTGAGTCTTCCCTGCTCCCTTACAGCCTTGCTTAGGCCATGAGGTTCCACAGTTTCCGGAGGGCTTGGTGGAGCACAGTTTGAGAACCATGTACATAGATCCTCCTGTGCTTCAGCTGCCTTCTCTGTGAAATGGGGCAATAGAGTTGTGAGAGCAGTAATGTCTAGACAGGGCTCAGCACGGAGTGAGCACACAGCCGGGGCTTCATGAACATCAGCAATAATGACTACTGACCAGGGGGCTAAATGGGAACCTTCCTGCTTCACTCTGCTGACTTCATGGCCACCAAAGCTGGCTTCCCAAAGCTCAGTTTTGACCAGGAGTCTCTCCCCTGCTGGATAACTTCCTGTGACTCCCCAATGCCCACATGTGGCTTGTGGCTGGCATTTGCACCCTCCTTGATCTGCCCTGCTACCCTCTTCAGCCTCAGCAAATGTTTACTCTGGGTCAGGCACTATGGACAGTGATGAGCAAGACAGACACGAGGCTTCGGGGTCCTTCACAGGCTGGCAAGGAATGCAGAGAGTAACAGAGGTGTCTGGGGCAGGGAACACAGATGGTTAACACACAGGTGCCCAGATCACTCATGACGAGGCATGACCTTGTCTGGGAGAGGATATGGATTAGTCAAGTCTACCAGGGAAAAAGTTTTGTTTGAGCTGAGCACTGAGAAAGCAAAGAGGGCAGAAGAAAGGCATTCCAGGCCAAGGGAACAGTTTGTGCAAAGAGCTGGGAGTGAGAAGAAACATGGTTGTGTTCGAGCCACGCTCCAAGTGTGGTCTAGGACCAGCGCCGGTCCGAACTGCTCCTTACAAGTCTGTGACACGATGATTATAAACAGCGAGAGAGGCTTTTACAGACTTGTGCAGCATTTGGCAAAGCAATTTTTTTTTTTTTTTAATCCTCACCTGAGGACATTTTTCCATTTTTTGTACAGATAGAGTGGGAGGGAGAGAGAGGAAGGGAGAGAGAGAGAGAAACATCGATGTGAAAGGGACACATCAAGTGGCTGCCACACGCACAACCAACCAGGGCCGGGGACAAACCACAATCGAGGTACGTGCCCCTGGCGGGAACCAAACCCGGGTCTCTCTGGACCGCAGGCCGACGCTCTAACCGCTGAGCCAAACTGGCCAGGACTATATCTGTTGACTCTTAATCAAACATCAGACTTGTATTGTGCATGTCTGTTTTTGTTTCATTTTTCTAAGAATTCATTTTTAGAGTATTTTACAAAAGTATTGGTTCTTGACAGGTTTTGTTAAACAACTGATTTTTCACCATAGATAGTTTGAGAAGCACTGTTGCAGAGACACTGACAGGCCGCGTGCGGGGCTGAAGCAGAGAGGGCAGGGAGGCCTGTGCCACTCACACTCCGCTTGCTCTTACCCAGAACACTCTCCTTTCTGCCCTGCCTGAGGGACTGCTCCACATTCCTCAAAGCCAGTCTGACGCTGCTTCCCCCTCTGGGTTCCCATGGGCCCTGGGACATCCCCCCACCCAGCACCAATCACACTGCCATTATTGAGGTCAGGAGCTGTGTCCCTACGAGACTGGGGATTCCTCAAGGCTGGGACTGTGTCTGGTTTCTGTTCAAGGGAAGGGAGTGAAGAGACGAGAGGAATGGCCCTGCAGCCAACTTCCCCCCAAAAGGGCATCTGGACACCTTGGGCATCTTCACTCCCATTCAGAATTAAACAACGAAGGCCAAATCATAGCTGGATTTCCTCGCTTGAGGAGAAGGGATGAGTAGGGACAAGGGGTAGGTATAAGGCAGGTGTGCCCTACACTCCTCCCCCATGGGCTTCTTCTGACATCCTCTCCAGGAGTTCCCTACAGAGGGCCTCCTGCTGAGGGAGGGGGAGCCAAGCCAAATGGAGGCCTCAGCCCTGTGTCATACTGCCCCTGCCCACTTCTCTTCTTGGGGTTCTCTGGGTACCTGCCTCTGTTCATTCCTAGGGTGTCAATGAGACAGAATCTATTTTCTTCCTCCTACAACCCCATCTGCTGTCAATCCTGCCACCACCCCACTCCAGTCCTATAAGGCTGAATGAAAGCCCCCCATGGCTGCTGTGCACCAGGGACCCCTCCCATGGGCAAGGGGACACAGCAGAGAATCCCTGAGCTCAAATCTTAGTGTTGCCAATTTCTTGCTGTGTGATCGTAAGCAAGTCATAATCCCTCTCTGGGCCTCAGATACCTCCACAAGTAAAGTTGGTACTGTAAGTTCCCTCTCCAAAGGGTTATGGTAAGGACTAAATTAGCCAGATTTTATGAAAATTTTTTTTTTTTTTATCCTCACCCGAGGACATTTTTCCATTTTTTACTCAGATAGAGCGGGAAGGAGAGAGAGGAAGAGAGAGAAACATCGATGTGAAAGGGACACATCAAGTGGCTGCCACCCACACGACCCAACCAGGGCCGGGGACAAACTGCAGCCAAGGTACATGCCCTTAGCAGGAACCCGGGTCTCTGTGGACCGCAGGCTGACGCTCTAACCGCTGAGCCAAACCGGCCAGGGCTTATTATTATTATTATTATTTTTATTTTTTATTTTTTGGTATGTGCCCCTAGTGGGAACCGAACCCGGGACTCTCTGGTCCCCAGGCAGATGCTCCAACCGCTGAGCCAAACCAGCCAGGGCAATGAAAAGTTTTAAGTATCCTCATGTCCCGTAGTTTGAGAAGTTATTTAGTTATTAGGAACTGGACTTGAACAGAAGTTGGGTTTGGCTCTGTAACTGAAGACTGGCCTATGGCTTCCGTGCCTGGAAGTCTGCAGGGTCCTAGTGAGGACTCAAGGAGACAGTGTGGTCCCGGGACCACCAAGTTGTCAAGAGGCCACTAAGCCTAAAATTCAACACCGCCCCCTTTGAGAGTTTTGGTATCAATTTAATTGTTAGAAAAATAAAACTAAAGTTAAATTTAAAAAATTTTTTCTTTATTTTTAAAATCCTCACTGGAGGATATTTTCCAATTTATCTTCAGATAGAGTGGGAAGAGAGAGAGAGAGAGAGAGAGAGAGAGAGAGAGAGAGAGAGAAACATTGATGTGAGAGAGACACATCAACTAGTCGCCTCCCATATGACCCAGACCAGGGCTGGGGACCAAACCACAACCAAAGTTCGTGCTCTTGCGAATCGAACCCACAACTCTTTGGTCCACAGGCCAATGCTCTAACTGCCGAGCCAAAAGCCAAACCAGCCAGGCCAAAAGTTAAATTTAAAGAAAACATTTTAGCCAAATGTTGGTTGCATGCAGAGGCACTGATGTCTTTGTTCCAGGCCATCTTGTTGTACAGTGAGCAGCCTTGGAACAGAGACAGTGTTTCCTTCTGGAGCAGGGGAGGCATGTTCAGTACCCATTATAAACGATTTGGATTCTTTACATTGGGATACCTCTTTTGAAAAACACACCACTGGGTGTGCGGGTGTTACCTGGCCCTCACTGCATGATTGTGTAGGAATTGGAGTGGGAGAAGCAGATCAAGAAAATGTAGCAACTCTGGCTGCTTTGAATAATAAAGTCCTTTTGTCTCTGACCCAGGAGGCTTGTGTCTTCTGCCAGCATCCATGAAAATGGCAGGCTAACTTGTTAGCTTACAAGTAGGGTAACAGTTCAGTCAACTTCACAATTATTGACACCCACATGTTTGGAAGAAATTATAAAAGATACTCTCAAAAGCACCAAAATTATCTGGTCCATTGCAAAAAGGAAGACAAGAAAGAGAGCACTGTGGTTTGGAACACGTGCTTTGGACCCAGCAGGACCTGGGTTTAAATCCCAACCCCACCAAGCACTGAGTTGAACGTGGTGTGAATGGCACAAAGGTGCCTGGCTGGCTGTGGGGCAGAACTAGCCTGCACATGCCTATTGAAGCCATGGGTCCTGGCATGGGCTGTGCTGTGGGGATGGAGTGAGCACAAAATACACATAAAGTATGCTTTAGACTTGAAGCTACATGTCATTATGGAGAGCTTGGGCCAGTGGCCTATCCTCTCCAAACCTCAGTTTTCTTTTCTTGCCTATAAAATGCGGACAAAGATCCTATATTTCACAGAACAATTTAAGAATTTAGAGGAATAATCTGTAAAAAAAAAAAAAAAAAAGCTTAGCACAACATCTGGAGTGCAGGTGGTACTTGAATATGGGGAATATTATTACTAATTAAAAACAATGAGCCCGGCCGGTGTGGCTCACTGGTTGAGCATCGACCCATGCACCAAAAGGTCACCAGTTTAATTGCCAGTCAGGGCACATGCCCAGGTTGTGGGCCCGATCCCCAGTGAGGGGCATGCAGGAGGCGGCCAATCGATGTTCTCTCTCATTGGTATTTCTACCTCTCTTTCCCTCTCCCCTCCTCTCTCTCTACAATCAATGAAGAAAAAAAATATTAAAAAAAACAATGAATGGCCCGGCTGGTGTGTCTCAGTGGTTGAGCATTGACCCGGTTTGATTCCTGGTCAGGGCACGCGCCCATGTTGTGGGCCCTATTCCCAGTGGGGGGCATGCAGGAGGTGGTCAATCAGTGTTCTCACTCATCGTTGTTTCTATCTCTTTATCCCTCTCCCTTCCTCTCTTTCTAAAATCAATAAAGAAAATTAAAAAAAAAAACAAAAAACCCACACAAAGAATGAATGTCACAAAATTTAAAATTAAAAATGCCATATAGAGGTGCCAACAGATGAACTGGTTTGGGTAAAATACAGGACACTGGACTAAATGATAAGGGGCTACTCAGGTAAACTAGCCAAAGAAGCCTGCCTCCATCACTTACTGGCCGAATGCTCTTGGTCCCAAGTGGCTTCCCTTCAGGGAGCCTGTTTCCTCACCTGTGAAATGGGACGATAACAGCATCTGCCTTAGAGCTGTGGACTGTCCACTGGAAATATAGCCTGGCGCCAGCCCATGCTAGGTGCTCACCCAGGAGGTGTTCCCATCCCCATTATCAACCCAGAAAGTCTACCTTGAGGAGCTCAGGTGCCTGTTTCTTGAGTTTCTCCATCTTCCACTCGTTCTCGCAGGGATTGAGCGAGGAGGGCGGCGCGGTGCAGGAGCAGCGGCAGTCGGTCCCGGAGCTCACGGTCTCCACGGTGTAGAAGTCCTCCACTCGCGCCCGCCCGCTGCGCACCCGGCTGCACGCGTCCTTGCTCAGCGGCCGCATGATGCACTTGCAGCGGCAGTCGGAGCCCTCCGAGGTCATCCGCACCTGGTCTACGTCGCCAAACACCTGCAAAAGGGGCTCAGGTGAGCCAAAGGCCAGTGCTCAGGGGAGGGAAAAGTAAGAAGGGGAGAGGGAGGGGTAGCAGAATCCAGCCTCTCATCCTCAACCTTGCCTTTGTGAAGGCAGATGGAGGTGGCTAAGAAGCTATCAGCCCTTACAAGGAAATAGAGGCGTTATAAGAATACTAATTAAAATATTAACAGCTGCTATTGAAAACAATTTGTTCCACCCCGGCTGGTTTGGGTCAGTGGTTGGAGTGTTAGCTTGTGGACCAGAGAGTTCCGGGTTCAGTTCTTGCTAGGGGCATGTACCAAAAATAAAAATTAAAAAAAAAAGAAAGAAAGAAAACGATTTGTTCCTCAATAAGTAAAATGTAGAATCACCATATGACCTTATAATTCTACTTGTAAGTATACCCCAAAGAATTGAAGGCAGGTATTCAAACAAAGACTTGTGTATGCATGTTCACAGCAGCATGACTCACAACAGCCACAAGGTGGAAACAATGCAAATGTCCATCAGCTGCTGAATGGATAAAATGTGGTACATCCATACAAAGGAATATTATTTAGCCATAAAAAAGGAATAAAAGACTGATACATGCTACAATATGAATGAGCCTTGAAAACATGATGCTAGCCCTGGCCAGTTTGGTTCAGTGATTAGAACATCAGCCTGTGGACTGAAGGGTTGTGGGTTCAATTCCCAGTCAAGGGCACATACCTGGGTTGCAGGCTCCATCCCTGCCCTGGTCAGGGTCATGCAGGAGGCAACCACTCAAAGTGTCTCTCTCACATTGATGTTTTTCTCTCTCTCCCTCCATTCCACTCTATCTAAAAATCAATGGAAAAATATCCTCACGTGAGGATTAACAACAACAAAAAATATGGAGACCTTTTATTGGGCACTAACTACATCCCAGTTTTCATGTACATCACACCCTTTAATAATGCCTGTGTATGGGAGGGTACTATTATCTCCAAAGTCCTTATCATAGACTTCAAGGCCTATATGAGCTGACACCTGTACCTCAACCCCTCCTCTTGCCACCCTTTCCTTCACCCACACCAGTCTCAGGGCCTTTGCAGATGTGGTGTCCTCATCCTGAAACCCTTGTCTCCTAATATTTCCTTGGCTCATTCCCTCAGATCACTTATATATTACCTCCTCCAAGAAGCCTTCTCTGACCACCCACCTCCCACTACTCTCTGTCCCTTTATCTAGTGGCTTTTTCTTAAAAAAAAAAAAAAAAAAAAGTTTTTTATTGATTTTTAGAGAGACAGGAAGGCAGAGGGAGAGGGGGAGAGAGAAACATCAATCACCTGCCTCCTGAATGCCCTCCTCCTGGGAATGTACCCTGACCAGGAATCAAATCAGCGACCTCTTGGTGCATGGGATGATGCTCAACCAACTGAGCCACACCAGCCAGGACTAGTGGCTTGTTCTTTTTTAAAAATATATTTTATTTTTATTAATTTATCTTTGTTAGAGATGTTTCTCCTTTTTCCTCCATTGACACTCTCCTCCAATCCCACCCCCTCCCCCAGCATTGTTGTCTGTGTCCATTAGTTATGCATACATGCATATAAGTTCTTTGGCTTATCTCTTCCCTCCCCTAGTCCCCTTCTTCTGAGGTCTGTCAATCTGTACCCTACTACTATGTCTCTGGGTCTATTTTGTTCATCAGCTTATTTTGTTCATTATATTCCACAAATAATTAAGATCATGTGATATCTGTCTTTCTCTGATTGGCTTATTTCACTTAGCATAATACTCTCCAGATCCTTTCATGTCATCTCAAAGGATAAGAGATCTTTCTTTCTTACAGCTGCATAGTATTCCATTATGTATATTTACTACATCTTTTTTATCCATTCATTTATTGATGAACATTTGGGCTGTTTCCAGATCTTAGCAATTGTAAATAGTGCTGCTACAAACATAGGGGTATAGTGGCTTGTTCTTTATCGCACCCGTTACCATCTGAAATATGATATGTGTGTTTGCCCCCTTTTTTTGTCTCCCCTACTCTACTGAAGGTACCATTAGAGGTAGAGACTTTGTCTAGTTCCCTCGTATATCCCCAGAACATTACTTGCCTGGCCTATAGTAGGACCTCTGTAAATATCTGTTGGATAAACAGGTCTGCATTTTTCAGACATGCAAGAGCACAGGGCTAAGAGCACAGCGTCTGGGGCCTAGGTTAGTAACTGTGAGCTTGTGGGCAACGCAACCTTTTGGTGCCTCTTGTTTCCTCATTTGTAAAATGGGCTCCTGTCTTGTGGGGTTGTTGTGAAGATTAAATGAGTTAATATAGGTAAAGAACAGAACCTGGCACATAGTGAGTGCATCTTAAGTGTGAGCCTTTATTAATACAGCTAAAGAAACAGAAGTTCAGAGAGGTGAAGTCACATGTCCAACATCACACAGCTTTGACTGGGAAGATCTGGCTGCAGATCTGTCTCCAGATCTGTCTCCAGATCGAAATCACTGGTCTATACTGTTTCTACAGATCTGTTCCCCCAAACTCTGTGTGACCTTAAACAGGTTACATAACCTCTCTGAGCCTCATTCCTTCAGTGGTAAAATAAATGACTCTTCATACCCAGCTTCCTTGTTGTGAGGATCAAATGAAATAACATGACCTCCATTTAGTGGTTTCTCTCCCCTCCTCCTTTTTCCTTTAGTCCCCACTGGGATGCTGAACACCCAAGTGTCTACCTGTGGTCACTGGTCACTGGGGTCAGCAGGACTTTGTGCCTGTAGGAATCAGCTCAGAGGGATCAGTGGCAGGTGCCAAGCTCAGTCACCAGCTCCAGCCTGCCTTGTTCTGACACACCAGCTGACCTCTGGAAGCCTCAACCAGCCACTCCTCTAGCTGGCTCAGCCAGCTCATCCTGAGCTCTAGGCTCTTGGAACACAGCTATTCAGGGCTCAATTAACAAATACCCCAGGTCTCATGGCTACTCAGCTCTCAGGAAGCCACCAAGCCCCAACTGAGTTCTGGGCTTTCTGTCAAGCCCGGCACTCATGAATGTCTCGGGGCCCTCTGGGAAGGGGCCAAAGGCACGCCATGTCTTCTCTGAGCCCTCAGACACCTGTTTGAGTCCCTGGCCTCAGCCAGACCCTGGGTGGTAGCTGGAGGTGCAGAAGAAACAGACCAAGGGAGAAGCTGGCATAGTGAGCTCTGAGAGCACAAAGATACCCATGAAGACAGGTTGGAAGAGGGCACCCCTTGGGACATCTTTAAGGAGGAGAAAGGCATTCCAGAAAGAGCAAATCATATATGTAAAGACAATCCTGGCATCTTGGGAATCTGGAGGAGGGTCACTCTGGCTGGTGCCTGCTGGGAGCCTGGGGTGGCAGGAAGTTAAGGCTTAGGGTGGCAGAGTCTGGCGTACAGAGGGTCCTGAAACTTGGCTGAGGATCTTGGCTCCCTCCTGAAAACACTGGGGCATCATGGAAGGTTTTAAAGCGATGGGAGTCAGTGTCAAATCTGCATATCATGGGAAGCGCATTCAGCTGCTTTGTGGACAGACGGTGGATGGAGGAGGCAAACCTGGGGCAGAGTCCATGGAGGAGGCATTGACTGAGAACTCACTGAGTGCCGGGGAAGTGTGGGGCAATGGTTAGGAACATAGCCATGGGCCACCTGCAGCTGTGTGCTCTCGGGTAAATACTTAACCTCTCCGTGCCTCAGATTCCTTACCTGTAAAAGGAGGGTACTACTACTGCCTACCCAACACAGGACCGTGTGAGGACTGGGACGGACTATCGGAACTATGCTGAGTCCAGTGCCAGGAGCACACGCAGTAGGCTGGACAGTGTAGCTGTTATTATTAGCACCAGTAATCCTGAAAGGGCATTGTCGTTTAACTGATGGTTTCTCAACATGGGTGCCCTGGTAGATATTCTTAGCAGTGTCCTACAGAGGAGGAAACTAAGCCCTAGAGCCATCAAAGGGATTAGAGCCCAGAATGGATGGACTTCCAGGCCCCTGGGGAATGTGGACGGTGGGAAAAGGGGCAGCTATGGGTGGAAGTTTTGTCCTGGGCCCCCTGTAGGCACAGTGTACTGTGGGCACTGTGGGGCAATTCTGCCCTGCCCGTGAATGCCAACAACTGGGTTTGGGGTCTTGAACATTCATTCCTCAGATCACTGCTAGTACTTTCTCTTCAAGACTCCTGGGCCCCCTTCCCAGCTCTGCTGGGACCCTAGCCACTTCCACCCACTCCCCCGGGTGGGGCTAAGAGCCCATGGGGTGGATGTGGGTGTGGTCTATGTGGCCAGGCCAGAGAGGCCTCCTCCTTGGGAACCACCCAACGCCCACCCCAGCAGCAGCAGCCTCCACATCAGACTGCAACATTCCTTCCCTCCCCAGATGAGGTGCTATGTCCTGATGGGAGCGGCCCTGAGCCCTCCAGGAGTCCAAAGAGGGCTCCTGCTCCCGGCCCCAGCTGCCAGGAGCCCAGGCAGAGCCTGCCCGCCTGTGATTACTAGTCCTGCAGTGCTTGGCTGGAGAAGGCAGAGCTCCATGGTGAGGAGCCAAGCCCATACCCAAATCCCAGCTCCCACATCTCCTCCCTTCAGGGCCTTGACCCCTCCGAGGCTCAGCTTTCTCCTCTGTTGTGGGGAAGACAACAGTCCTTTCCTCATCAACTTGTCCTGAGGCTGAAATGAGCGAATGCTTGCAGAGTGCCTGGCACCAAGTTTGGCACAGAGTGACTGCACTTGCTATTAGAGTTGCTGCCAACAACCCTCCCTCACATTTGCACATCATTTTTTACCTCTCTTTGCTCTCACTGCACCCCATCTTAGAGAGGAGAAATCTAAGCATCAGAGAAGACTCAGGGCTTGCCAAGGGTCACACAGCACAGCCTGACTCCAAGACTTGTTTTACTGTTCCTCCCATGACCACCCAGTCACCAGGCAAGGGCTTCTTCAGCACCTGGGACAGAGAAGGGGGTCCTGGGGGAGCACAGGACCTGGGGCTCCCACTCGACTTGACCCACCCTGCCCTTGGCATGAGGACTGGAGTCCCTGCCAAGCAGGAAAGTCCCTGCCTCAGCCCCTCATCTCTCCCTGCAGCCTTGCTCAGCACACACTGCCAAAGTCCCCAGAAGTATTGGTGGATGGTGTTTAAAAAGGTCCCTAGATACTTGCAAGGAAATCCCACAATGAGATGGCAAGAAGGCATACTTGAGATTTTTCTGAAGAGAGATGGAGAAATCTGGCTAGAATTGGGAAGAGGGGGATTCAAGCTATGAAATGTTTTAGAAATGGAACAAGTTCAAATTGTGACACCTTGAGGTTGAGTCTTCCCTCTTCTCTCATGGTTAGCGTCCATGTCCTCCTGTAGGCAGAGACCTCCCTCCAATAGAACTCACTGCCAGCTGGACACCTCCCTCTGGATGCCCACAGGCACCCCAAACTTAATCTATCCAAAACTGGACCCAGCATCTTCTCCCAAACCCACCTCTACCTTCTCTCCTGCCCAGCCCAGATCTCTGAGCCTCCTTCTTAATTTGGACAACCCATCAGTCATGCTTTTCTGATTCTTCATCCAAAATGTTTCCCATCTCTCTCCCTTGCTCTCTACTCCATGGCAACAGCCTGAGTCCAGGCCTCATTAACTGCTACCTGGGCAACACAGTAGCCTCCTCTCTGCTGGATTCATCTTCCAAAAGCTCCTCTTTGATGACCTGTTACTCTCTTGCTTCACAAATCTCCATGGCTCCCTGTCACCTCCATGAGTTCTCAACTGGAGTATGTGCCTCAGAATTACCTGGAGTGCACTTGGATAATGCAGGTGTCCTGGCTCAATTCCACACCCATTGCTTCAGGCTCTCAGGCTCCCCCGGCCCCTGGATGCCCACTAAAGGCCAAGAATCCTGGAACCCCAGGATTCTCCAAGTTCCTCAGCTCCCTGTCCAGGATATTTGGGCAGCCCTACCCTGACTCTTTTGCCCCTCCATGTTCAAGTCTGTCAGATGTGTGTGTGGGGGGGACCACTGATGCCCCAGAGTATTGGAAGAAGTGTTGTATAAGATCCCGAATATAAGTGCTGGGCGTGGGGGTTGGCACACAGGATGTTTCTTGGGACTTTGTCCTGGGTGCCCCAGTCAATGGGAATGTTGGGGAAGACTTTCCTTGCTGAGAGACCCTGTGGGGGCTGGCCCCACACTGTGTGCAGGGCTCCATCACTGTGCACCCTTGCCTGCTCTGGGGCCTGTTTCTAATTACACCCACAGACGGAAACTCCTGGAGCAGAGGCACAGCAACACCTAAGCCCCCGGGACCAGCCTGGCCTGGAACATCTGATCCAGCCCGGACACCACCGCCTGCTTGCTCCAGCCCCTCCTGCTCCCTGGCCCAGTTCCCTCAAATCAAGGCCTTCCCCCTGTCCTTGGTGTCTGGTCAGTGATGGGCTGACCAAAGACCCCCTTCTCACACCTGAATGCATAGAGGAAGTAAGGCGCCAGCAGCCCTTTCACTGATGGAGAAATGAGATAGAAATGGGGACTTAGCCATATTCCAAGCATGCACAGAAAAAAAGCAGGTTCCCAGAGGTTCCCAGAGGTCTCTTGTGCCATGGCTGGGTTTTACGTGGTTACCTGTCTGTCCATCCCAACCAACCTCCACACTGGGTACCCCCTCAGAAATGCCAGGGGAGTTATGAACTCCCTCTCCCATTCCCAAGCTGGACAAACACTTCCTTACATGGAAACTTCAAATCCTCTTTAGGAGAGACCTTGCTATAAACATGAAATTAACACACACTGAGCAAGGAGCTGGCTGAGACCACAGAGATCTGTACCCCAGAAAGTATGGGGTAGGAGAGGAGCTTGGACCTCCTAGGAGCAGGCAGCCTGAGGAGGGGCTAGGCTAGCTTAACCCTTTAGGGCCCTAGATAGACTTCAAGTCCCAGGCTAGCCCTCCCAAGGGCCCCCTCCAACCTGGGAAAATAGGACAGGCTGAGAGGAACGAGGATTGTTATGTGGGAAGGAGAGGGTGATAATGAAAACAGCCTCTCTACAGAGCCAGCAGGAGTCCGGCTGTGCTGAGGAATGTGAAGTAAATTCACTCATCACTTGATTTTTATTTTTCCCAGCTGGCTGAAGCGGTGTGGGGTGGGAGGTGTCAGGGGAGGGCTGCGCTGAGTCCCCCAGCTGCTTCATTCTCCAAACTCTAGGATGTGCCTCCCCACCCCACCAGCCCCAGCTTGCCCTGACCAACTAAACACACACCTCCCCCCACCTCCCCAACCTAGCAAGTGTTTGGCTGACTCACTACACAAACAGGGTGTTGGGTTTTCTTTGTCTTCACTTTGTTTTGAATGCTAGCCCTCCCCCACAAGCTCTACAGCCCTTTGCATTGCTCAGAGGATGCCCAAGACCCAATATCCCTCCCAGTCAGAGAGGTGAGAGGGGCAAAATGCTGATCAGGTTATTTGGGGGTTTTGCTCACTTGGTTCTATACCTGAGCCAGGTAGGGGCCCTAGAAGGCCCTATATGGAAAGAAAGTTGGGGACACACAGTATTTCAGATAAGAAAACTGAAGTCCAGCCCTGGCCGGTTTGGCTCAGCGGTTGGAGCATCAGCCTGCGGTCCCGAGAGACCCGGGTTCGGTTCCCGCTAAGTGCACGCACCTCAGTTGCAGTTTGTCCCTGGCCCTGGTTGGGTCGTGTGGGAGGCAGCCACTCGAAGTGTTCCTTTCACGTCGATGTTTCTCTCTCTCTCTCTCCCTCCCACGCTCTCTGAACAAAAAATGGAAAAATGTCCTCAGGTGAGGATAAAAAAAAAGAAAAAAGAAAACTGAAGCCCAGAGACAGGCAGGGACTTGCCCAAGGTCACACAACCAAAGAACAAGGAACCAGAACCTAGGTGTTTTTTATTCACAAGCCAGCTGCCTCTGTATACATCCTAGTTTTCCCATCTATAGGATATTCATTCCCTTCTTGTCTTTGGGTCACATGGTCAGGACTGCAGCCCGCTTGTTTTCATACTCTAAGCTGAATCTTCAGGTGAGGTTCTGCCAATGACCATTGCTCATATACTTACTGTGTGGTGAGTGGCTTCTGACCTTTACCTGCCTGTGGACAGGGCAGCCTCACCTTCTACTCAGGAAAGAAGCTGGAGAGACATCAAGAGAAATCACTTCTTTGCTCTTAAGAGGGAGCCCTACCTCCCTCCTGTCCTTCACTAACTCTAGTCCTGTCCTCATCCTCACTGCCTCATTTCCAAAACACCCTCAAGGGGCCCTGTTCTGACACCCTAAGTGCCTCCTCTCTCTACATTCTGGATCTCAACGCCTTTTAGGGTCCCTGTGGTGAGATTTCATAATTTCTGTATCATTTATTGGTTACCTTCTAGGTGCCACGTGAGGTGCTAAACATTTTACAGGCATGACCTCACTAACTTAGAGATCATCAATGCAGGGTTTGTGAACTGTCGTTCCGTATTTACAAGTGAGGAAATGGAAGTAAACGCCCTAGGTCACCCAGGTAAGAGATGGAGGTGGGATTTGAACCCGGGTCTGCAGTACACAGGGGCAGATCCTTTTAGCCAACACAGAAAATAGCTCAGGTCACTTCTGGAGACACGGTGTCCTCCAGAGGATGCATTAGATCCCTGGCAGGCACATGGCCAGACCAGATCGGTTAACTGGGAAGGGACTCTGGGTCCCCAGCATGGCCTGAAAGCTTTGACCCAGGGGCAGCTGCAAACAGGGGAGTCGCTAAGTAGCAGTTATCCAGGGGTTTGTCCCCATGAGTCAGCCTCCCATGGAAACTTTGAACCAGATCTCCAGACTGCCTCTCCCAGCGCTCATGGAAGTCCATCCCTCGGCTGGGGACTGCATCTCCTGTCTGCGTCCCCTCCACCCTCTTAACGCTCCTCTCCCTGGTCCTGGGTTTCAGTGCTGACCTCCATCCTGCAAAGGACAGGGTCCTAGCGTCCCTTCCTCAGTCCGGGTCCCAAGCACCACTACCATCTCCAGTGCTTCTTTCCCCACGCGCTCCTCTCCTGGAGTCCTGGCCTCAGCGGCTTCCAGGCTAAGCCAGAGGTTCGGTCTCCCCTCTCCTCGTTCTCCGCTCCTGGCCCGGGGCACCCTCCTTTGGCGCGCACCCCCAGCCACAGCGCCCCCTTGCGCCCGGCTCCCTGCTGAGCAGCGCCCGGGTCGAGGGCCGCGCGTACCTTACTCTCCGCGCGCATCGGGCAGGCGCGCAGCAGCAGCAGCAGCAAGAGCAGCGGCAGCAGGAGCAGGAGCAGGGGTAGCGGCCGGGGCGAGAGGATGGCCACGGCCATGGCGGCACGGGCACAGCGGGCACCGACAGCCAGGCGCGAAGGCGCGGGCTGCACTGCGAGCTCAGTGCCGCCTCCAACTCTGTTCGCCCGGCGCGCCCCCCGACCGCTGTTCCCCGCCCCGCGGCCCCCTCCCGCACCGTTGGGGGCGGAGCTAGGATGGAGGTCCGTAACCCGCCCTGCCCGGCCCGCTGGCTGTGGTCCTCTTTGCTCTGGGCGGCTGTCCAAGGGCATCCTTGTCCCGGCACAAAAAAGGGACGTGTTTAGAGCCCGCAGGAGCAGTGGGGGCAGTAAGAGGTGCAAGGGCTCCCCACACCTCCTGAGGTCCTGTTCTGTGTGTGTCTACCTTTTTCAGTCTTTGTTTTCTCGTCTGTAAAGTAGGGAAAACAGTGCTTTCCTTTTAGAGAGGTGTAAAGTTCAGATGAGTGAGGTTTCCAGCGCAGGCGGGCCTTTGAGCTCTCCAAACCCCCGCCACCGCCAGCTTTACCCTTCTCTCGGCTCAGATCACTCTCTCCCCTCTAAGATCCCTCCCGTCAACCCCAGTAGCTTCTACCTTTTAAACACCCTCCCTCGCCCCCATTCTCAGGACCAAGCGCCTCATCACTCTGACTTCTGGGCAGCAAAACTTTCCCCAGGAGCCGTCTGTAGTCGCCACTCCTCAGGTTTCCTGCCCATATTCTCTCTCCAGGGATCCTCGGACTCACTGTGGAAATGCTTTGTTGGGATCCCCGGACCTCTGGTAACCGAACCCTAGACGGCACCTGTTTACAATCCCAGGACCAACAGCTCTTGATCACGCCTTCTTCTCAAACCCTCTCCTCTCTCGGATTTCAGCTCATATCTCACCGGGGCCTCTCCTCAGTCACTTTTTTCCCCCTTTCCTTTATTGATTTTACAGAGAGAGGAAATGAGAGGGAGAGAGAGATAGAAACATCTATGAGAGAGAACATCGATTGGCCGTGCCCCCCACTGGGGGTCTTGCCTACAACCTGGGCATGTGTCCTGATGGGGACACATGGGTCCATGCTCAACCACTGAGCCGCACCGGCCAGACCGCAGTCACTTTTGCAAGTCCTTCTGCCTCTTTGCAACTAGAAGTCCTCTAGGGAGGCATCAAAACCAGAGCCAGTGTAAAAAATAAATATATGTTTTTATGTGAATAGACCAGCAATTCTCAGCCTATGTGCTGCAGTGTGGGGCACTGACCTCTTTTCCCTTAAAAAAAAAAAGAACAGCCAACACAACAGTAGCCGTCTGGTGTGAATGAATAAAAATTATACCTATTTTTTTTTTTTTGTCAGAGCAGTAAAAAAATGTATTTTTTGGTGTGCTGCAGAATTTTACTAATTAGTTTATGTGTGCCACGTGATGAAAAAAGTTGAAAATCTCTGGCATAGGCTATCTGGAAATGGACACAATAAATCAGTATGGTGGCTTTCGCTAAGAAGGGGAACCAGCTACTGGGAATCAGAGTAAAGAGAAAGGCTTACTTATTTTTCTTTTGATGGTACGTGCCCCTAGCAGGAACCGAACCCGGGACTCTCTAGTCTGCAGGTCGACGCTCAACTGCTGAGCCAAACTGGCCAGGGCGAAAGGCTTACTTTTTAAAATTATTATTATTATTATTATTATTTTTATCCTCACCCGAGGACATTTTTCCATTTTTTGTTCAGGTAGAGTGGGAGGGAGAGAGGAACAGAGAGAGAGAAACATCGATGTGAAGGGACACATCGAGTGGTTGCCACCCGCACAACCGACCAGGGCCGGGGACAAACTGCAACCCAGGTACATGCCCTTAGCGAGAACCGAACCCGGCTCTCTCAGGACCGCAGGCCGACGCTCTAACCTCTGAGCCAAACCGGCCAGGGCTAAAATTATTATTTTTATTTACTAATTAGAGAGAGAGAGAGAGAGAGAGAGAGAGAGAGAGACATTGATTTGTTTCACTTATTTATGCATTCATTGGTTGATTCTTTTTTAGAATATGTTTTTATTGATATTTTAGAGAGATAGGGACAGAGAGAAACATTGATGTGTGAGAGAAACATAGATAGGCTGCCTCCTGCATACCCCCTACTGGGGATTGAGCCCACAACCTGGGCATGTGCCCTGACCAGGAATTGAACTGGGACCTCTCAGTCCGTGGGCCTATGTTTAAACCACTGAGCCACACTGGCCAGGAGAAAGGCTTATTTTTCATAATACTTTTTTACATCCTGGGGATTTTGTAATGTGTGACCTATCTATTCAAATAACAGATAAAACATACTTGGAACCTGGCAGTGGTCTCCTTTTCCCAGCCCCTTCTCCCCATGCAGCCTTGCTCAGATTCTCTGGCTAGGAGGCCCTAGAAAAGAGAGGCTGCTGTCAACCGCGAACTTTGCCCCCTGCTGGCTGTTTCCCCATATACCCCCCCAGTTTCTGGTTTTCTCCTTTCCACCCTTCTCTCCCACCCCTCTCTTCTTCAATGGACTCGAGTTGTAATGGATTCTCTCAGTTCCAACTTGGCCTCAGAACCTTTTCACACTCTGTTCCTTCCCCAAGAAACTCTCTTTCCACCTAGTCTGACCCACTCCTACTCATCCTTCCCATCTTATTTCAATGCTCCTATCCCAAAATGCCTCCCCTGAACCCAAAAGAGCCCTGTCACACATACCCATAGCAACAGGAACTTCTAAGTGTGTTCTATTGTAGTATGTATGTGCAGTTGTGGTTTTGTGTGATTATTTGATTTGATTACTATCTGACTGCTCCACCACAGGGCAAGGCTCCCATGATAGAGTGCGCACCTGCCTTGTTCTTAATTGTCTCCCTGTCTCATCCCTTTAGCCTGTCTGCCTCTGACCTAAGGACCACTCTCCTGCAAATACCTCCTTATCCTTAGATGCTTTCCTTTCCAGCTCTTCTGTCATGAGTTCTGCTGGTGGTGACAATCTTTTTCATGTCATTTTGAGCCTATTTCCTTATTTTTAAATTAGGGGGAAAGTACTGACTTCTCAAAGTTGTTGAGGGACACTGGCAGGGTAAGTCTCCATAGTAGGAACTGGGCATGTAGTAGGTGACTACTTCACAGGACAGTGGCTGGGGTCTGAGTACATCATCATTTCCCTCACCTTTCTCAATTTTGTGGTCGTTCCTTTTATTTATTATTTTTATTTATTGATTTTAGAGAGAAGAAAAAGAGAGAGAGAAACATAGATTTGTTATTTCATTTATATATGCATCCATTGGTTGATTCTTGTTACGTGCCCTGACTGGGGGGTGAACCTGCAACCTTGGCATACAGGAACAATACTCTAACCAACTGAGCTACCTGGGCAGGGCCATGGTAGTTGATTCTTCCCAAGAAGCATTTTCAGAAGAGTGGTGCCTGGGTATTAGGACCACTCTTTTTTTTTTTTAAATCCCCTTCTGAGGATGTATTTATTGACTAGAGAGAGAGGAAGGGAGAGAAACAGAGAGAGAGAGTGGGACACATCGATGTGGGAAACACTGAAAAAGCTGCCTCTCACACACATCTCAACCAGTGGTGGAACCTGCAACCTAGGTATGTGCCCTGATGGGAAACTGAACCCACAATTCCCTGATCTTTAAGTGTACAAGATGATACTCCAATCAACTGAGCCACATTAGCCAGGGCAGGACCATTTTTACATGAGTAACAGGTCCCATTTATTAGGCCAGACCTTCTATTAATTGCTTTGTATGCACCATCTTATTTAATTTGTTGAACAATCCTATGAGGTAGCAACTATTATTATCCCTCACCCCTTAGAGCCAGACTTTGAGGCTCAGAGGTAAAATGCCTAAGGTCAATTTATTATGTAGAAAAGTCAGATATGTTTTTTTCATTCTTTCACCCACTCAGCCCTGTGCTCCACAGTTGGTGTTATAATGATGCGAATGAGAATAAAGGGGTTTGGTTAGTCAGGGAGATGAGGAAGGACTTGGGAGGAAGAGAGGACAGGTTGGTCCAAATGAGAAGCTGTTTCCACGGGCGGAATGTTTGGCTGAACTCTGCTCACCTTAGAGCTTAGAATCGGTTTAGAATCGACTTAGAATCTTTGTCCACCACTGAAACCCCAGGACTGCAGGTTTCTGCAGTGCCATTTAGCCTGATTAGATCTCCAAGGAAGGGGCACTCACCATTTGCAGAGGATTGTGATAGGAAGCAAAGTTCTGGCCCTGACACATTTTAAAATACCGAGGTGAGGGTATGGCTCCGAAGACCCATCTCCTCTGCCTCCCCCTTCTCCCCCCAACACACACACTAAGGGCTCTCCTCCCACTCTGGGGCTGGGGAATGGTAGTGGGGAAGCAATCAGAGAGAGACCATTTCTCACAAGGAACTTGTCAGAGCCCTAAGGGAACACAGAGGGGATCTAGATGTCCTCTAGGCATTAAGGATGGTGTCCCTGAGGAGGAGATACGTGAACAGGATTTTGAAAGATGAATAAAGGTTTAGGAGTGGGGTGAAACCAGTAGCATTCCAGCTTGGAGGAACCAAAGGTTCAGGTTCTAGTGTTTGGAATCCCCATCTCTGCTGGGTGACTGTATCAGTGTATGATAGGGACAATATTGGAGCTACCTCAGAGTGGGTTTGAAGTTCAGGCAATACTGTGTTAAGGTAAATCTCTCAGAACAGTGGCAGGCACAGATTAAGGACGCAACACAGGTTAACTAATGTTCATAAGGAATTCGCAAGCGCTGGGAAATGTTGCAAAAACCTCCTCCACAGCAGGAGAGGGAAAGGGTGTAATGAGAAATCTGGGCAGAGGTCAGTATAGACAGGGACGCAAATACCAGGTTGAGAATATTTTAAAAATTCAGAAATGACATGGACGAGCCAAGGGACTGTGGAGCGGGGTGGGGGAGAGGGCGGGAAATGGGCAGCCAGCGAGGAAGCCGCGGCATAACCCGGCAGAGTAGGCGCGGGCGCAGCATCAGTGTTCTGGTTCTTTGTTTTCAAGCAGGCCAGGTAAGGCTTAGACCTGGGGCGGCAGCCGCGACGAGAGGGTGACCGAGGGCGGACGCCCCGGAAGGCCCCAGAGGCTGATGGCCGCGCGCCTCCTGGTGGCCAGAGGAGACGGGCTCAGCCGGGAACAGCAGAGACTTGACAAAATCCGGGAAACTGAGGCCGGGAGCGGTGTTTGGCATCTCCCAATTGGAACCCGTCCCTATTCCAACTCTGTTTCACAAATAGGGAAACTGAGAAGGGAAGGGGAACAGGGATAGATAAGGATCCTCACAAACCGAAAGCTTCAAGACACCAGGAGTGAAGTCTTTAGAGTTTCTTTAATGGCATCAATGGCCTGGAGCTTAGTTTGCCATTCTGTTCAACCGGCAGGCGGAAAATGAAAGAGGAGGAAGAGAAACTTTAGCCTTTCCCGCCCACCCGGAGGTAAAAGCCTTTAAAGAGTACCCCGGAAAGCAGAGTTTTATAGATTCCATTTGCATACGAACGCAGTCACCTCAAGTTAAACTCCGGCCCTTTAATCTCGGGTCCAATTTGTCCCGAAGCCGCGGAGGCAGGTCCTCGTGAATGCCTCCAAACCCCGCCCCCCCAGCCCCGCCCATAGGGCTGGGCTTCGCTGCACGTGCTCACCCGGTTCCTTCGCGACCCACCTTCCAGGAAAGACTCATTGTCTGGGCGGGGGGATACGAGGAGTCATAGGAAAAGTTGACCATGGATAAGTCACTATAAAGAAAAAGCCCTGAAGTAATATTTGTTACACTTTAACGAAGGTTTCAATTAGGGTTTGTGATTGAACCCGGTCTTGGCTTTCCCTCGTTCAGAGCTGCTAATCGTTCTTCCCACCCCTTCATTTGCTGGAGTCCCTCGTGGCCGACCTCGCCGGACGGACTCTAATTCCCAGCGTGCCCTGCAGGCCCGTGCGTGGCAGCGGCGCGTGACGTCGGGGGAGGGAGCTGGCCAGTGCTGAGGGGGCGCGGCGCGGAGGGGCGCGGAGCCGGGAGGCTAGGGGCCCAGAGAGCGCGGCGGCCGGGAGCCCGCCGGCCCCTGACAGCCCCCTCCCCCCGGCAGACGACGACGACGACGAGGGCGCTGGTCATGGCGGAGCAGCGAACTGAGCGCGGGCCTTGAGCACCACCGCATGGAGCGGGACGAACGGCCGCCTAGCGGAGGGGCAGGCGGCGGGGGCTCGGCGGGGTTCCTGGAGCCGCCTGCCGCGCTCCCTCCGCCGCCGCGCAACGGTGGGTGAAGGGCGTGCAGAGTCTGGGCCCAACAAGAACCAGCCCCCTGTCCCCTAACCCGAGGATACTGTTACTCCGGGAAGCTGCAGCGGCCCCGGGTCTCCTCGGCGTGGACCTTCACCCCGGCCCCCTCAGCGCGGACCCTCCCTCTCCTCCCTCGTCTTACTCAATGTGGACCTCCCTCTCCCTCTCCCTCTCCCTCTCCGTTCTCCTAAGCGCAGATCCTCCCCCTGCCGGGTTCCCTCCGCTCCGACCTTCATTTCCCCCTCCCCCCGCCCCTCTGCAAGAGTCCTCCCCCCACCATCCCCCGGTCCCTTCATTGCAGACCCCTCTCCCCCTCCCCCGCGTCCCGTCAGCGCAGATCCTTCCCCAGCCCCCCACCGCACGTCCCGTCATTGGGGGCTTCCCCTTCCCCTCGGGTCCCCTCTGCTCTGAGCCTTCTCTTCCTACCCGTCCCGGGTACCCTCCGTGGGGGGCCGCTCCCCCACAGAGTCCCTCTCCCCCAAAGGGTCCCTTCAACGCCGAGCCATCCCCTCCCCCCAGTCCCCTCGGCGCTCCCCACCCGGGTCCCTCCTCCCTCCGCTGACGCTCCCTGCTCGTTCTGCTGACCCGACGCCACACCCTCGTCCCCTTGGTTCTCTCTGCCCCACACCTTTCTGGAGCCTCTTTCCTTCTCTTCACTTCTCTTGCACCCCCCATACTACTGCGAGCCTCCACCTCTGCGCCGATCCTCAAATCCTTAGCTACTCGCCCAGCGTCTCCTTTTCTGACTGCTTGGGACCTGCTCCGCACCCCATTTCTCTCTGCTCCTTTTCCTTCTCTGTTAGGCGACGACTTTCTGCTGGCTCAGATCTCTAGCCCGATCGCGTTCGGGACACCTGTCTCCCTCTGTCTACCGGTCGGTCCAGGTCCGCGCTTGCCCCACCTCAGTTCCCGTCCCTTTCGCGATCCGGGACCCTGAGCCCAGAGAATTCCTCACCTGGCCCGGCCCTTCCTACCGCTCTCCCCCTGCCCCCACGTCCGGGCCAAGTCTTCAGGTTCCTCAGGGCTGTCGCTGGGGGTGGCTCGCCCTCCGCCCCCTAGCTCTCTCCCCCTGCGGGATGTTTTATTTGTATCTGTTTGATATTTCCCCCTCGGTGTTTGCCACGGAATGTTTTTATTGGTAACGCGTAAGGAGCTTTTGTGAGGTCGTAAAAGGTGAACTTTTGAACTTGGAAAGCGCCCTGGAGCAATTAGCGCAGGCGATAGCCCCGGGAGGCCCGCATTACAAAGGGTGCTCGGACCGGCTGGCAAACGCTCCGGCGGCAAACCCGATTTATTTATTTATTTGCCCTGCCTTCCACCTTTCACATCTCATTTCCGAATAAAGGGCAGGCTCTCAGAGATCTTTGCCTCCTCCCCTCTCTGCGCCATAAACTCGCAATTCTCTGAAAGATCTAGGACCGAACAGTGTCTAACAAGTAACAGATTTCAAATTGAATGCAAACACCCGGGACAGTTAGGAGGCACTAAAAATTAATTGCTTCAGCAAGAAGTTTCTCAGTCAGGACAGTGACTTGGCAGGTGTGAGGAAAGTAACCTGAATATAGGTCACTTAGGCGCTCAGTTGAATGAATGAGCAACTACAGAAGGAATCTCGGGGTGAATCTGAACCTTCATATATATACATATATATATAGCCAATTCAGTCGACCTGCTATTTTTACCAGTTAAGGAAAAAGTCTGTTTAGAGGAGAGCCTGGTTAACTTAACTTGATGTGGCTGACCAAATAGTGATATGTTTTCAAAGCTCTTGTCCTTTTTTAAGATGTCTGTGATGTGTGGTATGGAGGTGGCTGGCAGTCCCTTGGGATGTCTTTGGAGACTAATTTCTGAATGTGAACATGTTTGAGATCAATAAAATCCCGTGTCACAAAGGAGGCTGGAATCTAGTTAGGGTAGGAGACAGTATCCTGGAACAAAGGATTTCTTTAACGCTTTTGACTTTTGAAGCTTTCAAAGTGGAGATTTGGTTTGGTATTCATGTGTGAATGTTGTAAATCCGATCTGAATTTTACCTTGCTGATTTTTTAACCCAACTCCAGATCTTATAGCTCATGTTAGTGTATTTTCAAAATACCTTTCTCTGTGTGTATACTCCCTGAACCCACCTGTGCATAACACATAGATGATGGATTTTGCTGCAGACTTCAGTTCTACTTGAGAATATTGTAAGGGAAGCCTAGGAACTGCATTTGCTATTAATTATTCATTAGTACATTTTAAAGAACTCAATGGTAATTTTAACTCAATCAAATTTCCCATTCATGGTCTCATTTCCTCAACTGGTCAGAACCATTTAAAAGAATGTTATTGAGCAATCTGGTTAGGCTAAGGTGGCTTTAATATTTTACATTAGTTCTATTTAGTGCTACAAATAGTTCCTTTTTGTTGAAAATATAATTGCCAGTTTGATGAGCTTAAAATAAAATACGTGGAACATTAGACTGTTGTGGCAAGCTTTATTTTTCAGTGTAAAAATGAGCATTGTGACCTGTTTTACAATTTAAGTTCATTATCTCATAACTTAACATGCTCACAGAAGAATTACCAAAAAAAAGAAAAAAAAAGAAAAAGGGAAGCTTATCTTGAATGGTGGGGATATGTTTTCTTTTATATTTCCTAATTTATATATTTTCTTTAAAAGTAAATGAAACTGTTCTAAGCAGAGAAAATGACATTTTCTCACTTTTTATCCTACCAACTGATTTACATTTTGTATGAAATATTTGCAATAGATAGCTATCTTGATAGGAGGTCTTTTGGTTTCTGTCATGAAGAAATAAACTAGAGGTGGAATTTTTGAAATGTTTTCCTGCCAGAAATGCCATTAATGCTAAATTTACAGTCCGTTAAATGGTTTTTATTATTCTATCGGAACAGAGTTGCTAGCCTTTTGATGCACCATAACCCTTCCATGAATTCCCTGTGCTAACTGCGCTAGATATTTGCAGTTGTTGCGTGTAGGTTTTCATAACAAAAATGAACTCATTTAGAGGACTGCTCCCTTTTGGAGCTTCAAAGGAAGAGAATGATTTGAGGAAGTATATGCTACATATTGCATTTGTTCATTTTATTTTAAGAGAGTGAGGGAGTAGACTTAAATATTTCAAGCAAAGGAAGGTTATAAGCCATTATCAGTAATTAAGAGCATGTTTTATATAATTGTACTTTACGAGAAATTTGAGTTCACTAAATAATCTGATGCCTTTTTCCTGCTATGATCATGCCATCCAAATGTTTATCTCTGAAAATAAAATAGCAAGTGTTTTCCATGACAATTTAACCTTAGTTTTGTGACTTTAATAATTACGTTAATTCACTCTGGCCGGTTTGGCTCAGCGGTTGGAGCGTCGGCCTGCGGACCAGGGAGTCCTGGGTTCGGTTCCCGCTAGAGGCATAAAAAAAAAAAACACACAAAAAAAACCTAATAAATTTAAATCCCAAAATATCACTTATAAAAAAATAATTAAGTTAATTCTGAGTCACCTCAGAATTTTCTACTTTAATTTTAAAAATGCATGCTATAGTATTGTTGTTTTTTAGAACAAGCAGCACACACAGGTTTTTTTTTTTAGTAGGTTCTGTGACCTCCAAAGAGCATTGAAAAGCAACGATGAACAGATTCACTGGTGATTTTGAACAGCTGAAATGTGAAATGACCACATTTCCAAACTTTGATATACAAATTATTTTTTGAGTATTTCTGTTCCATGTAACCAAAATATGATAATGACATGCTTCCTAATCTGTAAGTCATTCTGAATTCTATACCAAAAAGATGTGTGTGTGTGTGTGTGTGTGTGTGCGCGCGCGCGCGTGTGCTAGCACGTGAAAGGGAGTTAGATGAGGACAGAGTGGGGAGCTAATGAAAAAAAGTAAAACTGGTACATTTCCTAAAATATGACCAAATCATGCTTTCCCATATTTTATTCATAATTTCTTGGTTTCTCTTTCCTTTTTCCTGGGGTCGTGGAGCAAAGGTAGAAAATAAACTTTAGATTAAAATACCTCATCTCAGATTAGTGGAGGATATGGAGGGTAGAAATGCCAATTTCCATAGTATTGGTAAGGGAAGTTTTTTATACCACTTACAATGCTTGTTATGCAAGCTGCCTTTAAATTGCTAATGATACTTGCATGTTTTGGGGCCTGGGGCTGTGTGAGTTCATCCTGTATTATAGCTAGGTAGATGTGTATTAGTTTGTGTTGAATAAATTGGTTAATTAATGAATTGTGTTCAGATGGCAACTTCTGGCTTCAGAATTCAGGATAGCTCTTCTGACATAGAAGACTTCTTTTCATGTTCTAGAATCTAGATCTTGGGGGCTTTGTCTTAAATTTTTTTGTTCTTATGTTTATTTTTGTGTTGTAGCCAAGTTAAATGACATTTCTTTAAGTATTTTTTCTATGTATATAATTAAGTTGAAAGTTAAATTTGAGAAGATGCCTTCTCAAAAGAGTAAATTTAAATTGTTGGTCCAATCTTTTAAAGTAGAACAATAAAAATGCCCTTTTGTGTGTGTGAACCAGTCATCTTTTATGTGAAAAGGGTCATAATCAGAAAAATCAAAATTCTGAATCAACAGATAAAAACAAAACTTGCATTTCAGCAAAGAATAAAAGTGTCCTTGAAACAATTTTAAACAGAAGGTAGCTATTTGAGTATGCCCCACAAGTAGTGATCTAATACACCCAACTCTATGTTATACTTTGAAAGTATTTATAAAAACCAACAAATTGTGAAAGAAAGTATTTCCTTTCAAACTTTCATGTTGTCAGCTTTTCCTGGCTCAGGTAATTTCTTAAGGGTTTATGAATACCTTGGATTGACAAGTAGGGTTTAGAAATACCAGAATTATTAAAAGTCGGCAATAAGTACTGAGCTGGTAATTCTTTTTCTTGTGTTGAGCATATGTTTCAGATTCATCTGCAATTAATCTTAATGTAAAAAAAGACCT